TGCTCGAACGATTTTCTCGCAAGTATCGGAATATATCACTGCGCGGAGTGTCTGCAAACACACGTTAGGCCATTCCGACAGGGCCGCCAAACTTTGTTCGCCCGGTAACCTTTCGTTAGTGCTGTCACCGTTATCCGATTTACACGAAACATTCTGTTTTGAAACTAAATTCGGACACATCAATAGTACATGCCTTCTCGTAGACCAATCGCATTTTACTCTAACTCGGCATCTTTTCGAAATATGTCCTCGCTTTAAGCAAATGAAACACGCGTTTTCCTCTTTTACGACGTCTCGACGTTCATCCAAACTCAACTTACGTGCTATCTCGCAACTTGCGTTTTCATGATTCGCTTTACAAAATATACAAGACAACACTCGATCTTCCTTTGACACGAATAAAACACTCGCACTCGCTCCTTCTTTTGTCGCCTCGACCTTACCTCTCGACTTCTTATTCTTGTCTTGCTCCAGTGGTAAGCTGAATCCTGTCAGTGCCATCCCGATGCGCTCCTCATTTTCAACCTCGCGTTGTAGGAATCCTAGTAATAGCGTGAGGCGATCCTTGGTTGGCTCCCCATCTGCATCCGTCGTCGTCATGTCCGCTGTGTTGTGTTGACCACTGCGTTGCCACGCACGTAATACTTCCTCGGGCAATGATGACTCTACGGGTACAGCATTGCCGCACATTTGTCCGTCGACACCAAGTACATTAAGTGCACGAATGTTCGATTCAACTTTGTCGTAGAGGCTTGAAAGAGGTTGTCTTTGATTGCCTTTTAATACGTTTTGTAGCACTAATCCTAACAGTTCACGTACATAGAACTCCACTACCACTTCATCGCGACCGAAGCGATTTTTCAGGCACGTGATAACTGCATCGTAATTTCCAGCCGTAGGTGGAAAACTGCTCACTATTTCATTTGCTCTTGAACCCTGAACAGTTGCTTGAATAAGATACTGGAACTTATCTTCCTTGCTTAGTGCCGCATCTTCGTGTATCTTCTTAAACTGGCTCCAAAATGGAAGCCACTCCTTTATGGTGCCTTGAAACTTCGGCAGTTCAATTCTTGGAAGCTTGAGAGATTTGCCAACGTTCATGGAAAAACCCGTTGCCGTAATCTGCGGCGGGGCTACGGCTGATGTCAAATCCGAAATGTTCAACTTAGCCTTGAAGAAACTTGTCTTGTAATTGCTGTCCGACTCTAACTCCTTTGTCGCCTCCTCTTCGGAAACGGCCTCTGTTTCAAACAAGGCTTGATTATACGCTGAGTGCGCCACATCAAGTTCGGCCATCTTATTTTCTAACACATGGAAAGCAACGATTCTATCCTCTCGTGAGCGATCCTCATTTTCCATCGCATCCATAAATGCTGTGTGAGCCCTCGTAAAACTTGAACGCAGTATTTTTCTCTGCCTTTTGAGTGCCTCCATCTTGTCTCGTACAGGTTAACACGATGCGAATGGAACGAATAATTTTGAGATCTCACTTTAAACCGAAGTCCTGTCACGGTCGCCACTATTTTACGAATACACAGGGGAAAAGGGACTCAATGAACACCCTGGTTACTGTATAAAAACTTTGGTTATATTTCGATCTCACGCTTCCTCTCGATCGCTCCGTCT